TCCCACAGATCCCTGGGGAGAGGGAGGCTGGGCAGCCAAGCAGGCTCAGGGGCTGCTCCCCATGGATTTACAACAGAGGGGAAACACCACGAGCTCCTTCAGCACGAGGTTTAAATACTCACAGCAAAAATGATGAGTTCAATTCCGTGCTTGGCTAACAGAGCTGTTCCAGAGGCTGTTCCTGTGCACTCAGAATCCTCAGGAAGCAGCTCAGCAGGTCGGGATGGAGGTGGAAAATGCAGAGACACCAATGGGATGGGAGGCAAGGCAGGTCCTAGTGAACCTCTGTCTTCTCACCCCGACTGCTCTGGAACAGGATGGGGAGAAACAAACATTTAATTCCTTTTTTTTTTTTTTCCTGTAAAAATATCTAGCCACTTTCCAGGTCTATGTAAGCCTTCAGCACCTAAAATTTCCTGGGGCAACGAGTCCAACTTTTTAACAGGCTACTGGGTGAAGAGTTTGCCTTCACTTCTTGGAACTTTTTGAGCTCTTCCCTGTGTCTAGTACAGAAGGGATGGCATCCAGAGGGGCAGGTGGAGAGGTGGGATTGTGTGAACCTCATGAAGTTCAACGAGTGAAGTGTCCCAGGCCAGGCTGGACAGGGCTTGGAGCAACCTGAGACAGTGGAAAGTGTCCATGCCCATGGCAGGGGGTGGCATTGGATAATCTCTGATCTTCCATCCCAAACCATTCTGGGATTCTGGGATACTCCTCATTCCAAGGGTTTCTTGAACCAAGCCACCATTGCTGATTAATTCTTCAGCTTTACGACACAAACAGTTTCATGTCTGCCCCTTCCTTTATCAATCCTTGCCTTCTGTGGATAATTTTCTAGGCCTCTTCCCATCCATTTTTTGTGGGCTACTCACAAATTACTCAAGGCAGGAGATACCAGACATTCATTAAGCAGCACAATAACATTCCCCATTTCAGCCTCTCTTACCCCCCTGGTTTGTTTTTTTTTTTGGACTGCTGTGGACCAGCAGTGTCATTTTGACAGATATTTCCAGCATAACTCTCAGATCTCCTTCCCAAGCAGTAACAGCCAGTTCAGAGCCCAATGATTCCCCCCCTGTGCATTGTTTTTCATTTAGCAGCCTTGAATTTCATCTGCCGTTTTATTATCTGCTCACTAAATATCATCAGGTTCTTTTCCCATTCTTGGAGGTTGGCTGTGTTTTAATCTTTTTGGTATTAAATAAGCATTGCCATCAAATGCTCTTTACTTCTTTTTTTTTTATTTGCTCCCAGACTCACCTGGACTCCCCAAATTCAGGGCACTGATGCACAAGGAAAAGCCTGTCAATATTAAATTGTCTCTAAGTGCAAAAGCATCTTCTCAAGGCTCCACAGGGTAGAGGATTCAGGTGACAAAGTCACATCTACAACCATGCACAGTGCCTTTATAGACAATAAGGCTGTTGAGTTTTAGCATATTTAAGGTGAAATGAGAAAAAAGTCTCTCTAAAACGAGCAGTCTTTTCGAATTCCCTGTAAATTCTGCTCTGGAATTTTAATTTCTGTGGTGTTTACCAGCAGCTTTGTGAAAGTGGGTGATCTCAGAGCCTGGGAAGAGCAAGAGGTTTTAGTTTTTTAACTCCCACCCCAGGGGAGGGAATTACCAGAGTGAATCGAGTGCAGCAGGGAGCAAACAGAGACTCAGCATTTAAAGGCTTTCCCAGCATGGAAGTTCTGGGGCTTTAGAGCTGCTGGGTCTCATCGTCCAAAATCACGTTTGGCTGAGGTTTTTTGGGTTTTTTGTTTGTTTGTTGGTTTTGTTTTGAAATATATATCCAGTGGCAATGGATTCTTTAAAGTGTCAGACCTCAGCAGGAAAAGGCTGACCCTGATGAAGGCTCCTGTTCTCTCACTGGAGGGATGAACAGAGAAAAACCCTTTTTTTTCTCCCAATGACAGAAAGTGCCACCAGCATGTCCAGCAGAACAGAGCATGGGAGCACTGGAAATGGAAATTGCTCCACAGAAGGCTCTGCCTTTGTTTACAGCCCTGCCAAGCTCTCTGGTTCCCTGCTTTTCAGAAACAGCTGTTTTCTACACCCCTTTTAGCCAATGGGCCATGGACAGCTTGGAAAAGTGCCCATTAAAATGAGCCATGGGCCCTCCTTCAGCCATCCCTCAAAGCCAGGTGGGAGAAAATAGTTTATTAACTGCTAAAGGATGGGTTTCCTCTATAATGAACCTTCCTGCAGTATTGAAGAAAAGCCATGTCTTACTTCCCTTTCCTAATAAATGGCTTCTTCAGAGTTTAATTAACTTCTCCCTGCTCTTCTTTTGTGGCAAAGTGTCACCCTGACCAGGAGACAAATTCTGTTTGTTCCTTTATCTGGGAGAGGGCTGGCCTGTCAGATAAACTGCTCTGCCTAATTTTCCAGGGCTTTTTCTCTTCCCACTTTGCATATTCCAGGGAGGGAGGCAGTAATAACAGAAAGAGACGCTTTTGGGCAGCTGGATACCTTTGGGATTGGGATTTGAAGGAGCACCTCCCTAAAATACAGCCTGGACCACACTCCCGAGTGCTGGCAGGGGATGGGAATGGGGACTCAGAGACCCACCAGAAACTGGGTCAGGCTCTCTGCCTGCTCCTTGGCTTGAAAACAAACCCGGAGGAAACAATTTTTGCCCTTCCAGGAGCACGGGATTTTTTGTATTTTCAGCAGCGCTCGCCTGTCCCCACGCGTGTGTACAAATATAGCCGGGAATCAATAGGAGTGAGACTAGGTCGCTGCATTTCTGAGAAATGTGCTCCTGATAGCTCATAAACCCGAGCAGCCCCTGCTCCTTCACACTTGCTGGGGTGCTCCAGGCCTTGGCTGCGTGTGCCAAGGCAGTGGCACAGGCTGGAGAAGGCGAGGGCTGCTCCCTTTTCAAAAAAGGGATGGATTTGGGCCAAGTCAGGGGGGACCATCACAAACCTCTGCTTTGGCTCTCCAGCTCAGCTCTCAGCCCATCCCACAGCACAAGGCAGGAGCTCCCATTTTGGGGTGGGAGGGAGGGAGGAAGTCCAGAGTACCACCTGGAGAAATAGAATTTTCCTTCCTGGGAAAAGATCCCAGGGCCAGCCTCGTTAAACACGGGCCTGAGTGGCGCCACTTGATTAATTGTGCCAGGTCAGGAGCAGCCAGGGACTTGTGTGACACCAATGCAGTAATGGTCTCCAGCACACAGACAATCCCAGAGGATGTGTCCTTCCTACCCAAACGAAATTAATTAATGGTGGCAATAAATAAACCACTCCAGATGAACGAGAGCGTCCCAGCAGCCGCCGGCACGACGGAAGGAAAAATAGGGAAAGGGGAAGGCTCTGCAGTACAGAATAAATGAGGAAGTTTTTTTTTGGAATGGGTGAAATGAGGCTGCAGGAGGAGGATGGGCCAGCGTGGAGCATCCCAGGGGAGCAGCAGCAGCTGTGTTGGGACCATTTGTCCCTTTTCTGGGCTCAGCATTAAGCTCTGCCACCAGGAGCAGCCACGATCCTGCCTGCTCTGCCTGGGCATTTCCTTGGATCCCCACCCCAAGGTGTGACCACCAGGCTGTGGAGCAGCTCTTAGGCACTCCTAATTGGCACGTGACAAAGTGCCTGCCACACGTTGGTCAATACCAATTAGCATTCTTATTAAGTGAATGTGTGTTGGCAGCGGTTATCTAATTACCTTAACAAGTGCATCAGGGAGAGGCATCAAAGCCTGTGGAGCAGCAGGAAAACGAGCTGCCCTGGGAAAAGGGACAGGACAGGACTTTTGGAGCAAGTCCAGGGGCGAGCCATGAAGATGATTAGAGGGGAGGGACACATATCCTATAGGAAAAGGCTGAGAGAAGTGGGATTGTTCAGCCTGGAGAAGAGAAGCTTCAGGGAGAACTTGGAGCCCTTTCCAGTGCCTAAAGGGCTCCAAGAGATGTTGAGAGGGACTTTGGACAGGGGCATGGAATGAGAGGACGAGGTGGAATGGCTTCCCACTGCCAGAGGACAGGGATAGCTGGGATATTGGGAAGGAATTCTTCACTGTGAGGGCGGAGAGGCCCTGGCACAGGCTGTGACTGCCTCGTCCCTGGAAGTGTCCAGGTTGGACAGGGCTTGGAGCAGCCTGGGAGGTGCCCCTGCCCCATGGCAGGAGGTTGGGAACACCGTGAGCTTCCAAGATTCACCCCATGATTCCCTGGGCAGGATCCCTGCCTAACACGGGTGACTTTGTGAGCTCCCACCACTTCCAGGGTAATGCAACCCAGACATTTGGGGTTTTTCCTTCTGCAGAATTAATTTCCTGGAAGCCACGGAACAGGAGTAACGAGAGAGGCCAAGACACCTGAAATTGCATTTACCAGGCTACACAAGGCTGGTGCTTTTTATTTCTTCCCCTCTTTTTTGCATATCACCCCCAGGCTGAGCTTAGCCTATGGGCACCACTGTTATCAGAGAGCAGGCAGGGGGAAGAGTTGAGACTTGGTGTTTGTGCCTGGGAACCAAAACAGACCCTGTGCACTGGTTTTTAATTTAAAGTCTGCAGTTCTGCTTTCTATTTTTTCTCCTTTTTTCCCCTCCTTGGAATTGGCATGGCAGGGGCTGGCTGGTGGAAGTTTCTCTGCCTTTTATGTCTGGGCTGGTGTGGAATCACAGAATGGTTTGGGTGGGAAGGGACTTTTAAGCCCATCCAGTTCCACCCCGTGCCATGGGCAGGGACACCTTCCACTGTCCCAGGTTGCTCCAAGTCCCGTCCAGCCTGGCCCTGGACACTTCCAGGGATCCAGGAGCAGCCACAGCTTCTCTGGGCACCCTGTGCCAGGGCCTCAGCTCTCTCTGCAGGGGAGAGGGCCACTCTTATGGGTGGAGAAGATGCCAATTTTACATTTAAGATGTCAAAATGAGCAAGAGCAGAGAGTTCTGGCTGCTACAACAGACCCAGAGCAGAGTAAGGACCTGGGGGAAGAGGGAGGAAAATCTGTGATCCTGCTGAAGCAGCAGCCAGCTCTACTCACCATTTTGCCTTTTCTGTCCAGCTTTTTTTTCCCCCCTCCATTTTCCTTAGGTTTCTCCATCCCCTGGCAAGCTGAGGAGCACCATCAGTCCCTGCAGCACACCCAGAGGTTGATCCAGGCTGGATGGAGGGCATCAGCCTTCCCTAGTGCTGAGTCTACCATGTATCAAATGCAAGCAGCACACCGAGCAGCTCCTCTTGCCTGCGTGCCTATTAAGCAAAAATTAAAAGAAAATTACATGGGGAAGTCGGCAGCAAGCAGGAGGGGATGGGCTGTAATTATCTGGCTATTAATTGGTGTAAAGTTCCAGTTTAATGCTCTCGGGCCCATGTCGCTATTTCCTCGGGAAATTTTCTCTCTATTAGTTTTGGATGAGAACTGGGATTCTCTCGGAGTCCACCCAAAAAGGTGACTTTCAGCTTCAGTCCCCCAGCAGGTTTTTGTTTCCATGAAATGAAGGGGTTGTTTCTGACAACAGCTTCACCTGCCCAAGGTGGGAAAAGCCAAGTTTTAACTTTTATTGGCCGAGGATCACCAAGCGTGACCCTTTTAAAATTCAGCCTGCATGGAAACGTTTGCTCCAAACACAAAATCCAGCAACAAGAGAACTCCAGGGGTTGTTCCCCCACGGCTTCTGGGAATTCCCAAGGGAGGGGTGAGAGCCTCCTGCCCAAGCTCATCAAAACCTGCCAATTAAACAGACCCACGATGTTCTGAGCATCCATCAAACCCCGTGGAGAGTTTCCAGGAGTGATGTGCAGGTTCCTGCCAGCTCACCTGGCAAGGGACCAGGCAACCCATCCTCCTGCTCCTGCCATGCAGGATTCTGGCTCTGCCACCCAACAGGGGGGAGCTGCAGATGTTTGAACCAACACACACAGGTACTCACAGCTCTACAGCAGAGCTGGGAAGCGTGGCCTTTCCTCCTCAGGAATCCCACAGGCAGCTGGGAGAAGCTGGAGCAGCAGGCAAATCTGCTGTGCTGTTCCAAACCGGGGGCAGAGGGAGGAGGAAATAAAAGTTTTTTCGTTTGTTTTTTTTTTTTCTTTGCTAAAATAAGGTATTTCCAGGGATAAACCAAAGTGCTCTCGGTTTTGCATCAAATTTCCTCTGACAGTCAAAGGTTTCCTTCCAAGAGGGAAAGGCAGGTCAGCCTTGTTCCAGTGGACACAAACACCCTTCAAGCTGCTCTTGCAGCAGGAGTTGTGAGGACCTAAAGATTTATCTTTAATCTACAACCCCTTCTCCTTCGATTCCCAAGCAGGAGAAAAGCACTTGCTAAAGTGAACTCAGGAAAAAAATTAAAAAAAAAAAGGAAAAAGGGGAAGTAGAGGAGAAATAGGAAAAAAAACGAACTGGAATAAACACCCAGGGAAAAAGGGGAAAAAAAATCCCAGAAAAGAGGAAGGAGGGATTTTATTCAGTTCACAGCTTGGAAGATGAGAGCAAAGAATAAGGAATTCTCCTTTCATGCCATGGCTCTCCATGGACTGCAGTAATGTGGAACTTTTTGGGGAAAAAAAGCTTCCACTATGGCTAATTGTCAGCATTCCAAACCCTTAAGAATTTTTTAAAATTCTGGTTTTGTCTCCATATCTCCCTCCAGTTTCCAAACCCAGTAGAGCAAACTTCTCTGTGCTGCACCAAGGCCCCAGGAATCTTCTCTGCAGCAGCCAGAGTCCTGAATCCCTGCACATGGCATGGGGGTTGGGATGAGATGATCTTTAAGCTCCCTTCCCAACCCAAACCATTTTTTCACAGAGTCACAGAATGAGGATTTTTCTGAAACTTCAGAGAAAATCCCCACTGTGGAGGCTCAGCACACTGCTCTGGAAAAGCACTTGTCCCAGAGAAGTCATTCCCTTTAAAATTTTTAATTGTTTTTTTATTCCACACACTGGCTGACAGGTTGTTTTTTTCCAGGAGAAGGAAACACCAGTGCCACCACCAGAGGTGCCAACAGCTGTATCCACCCGGGATGGGCATTGCTGGTGGATTCCTGCCAGCTCTGGAAACATCCAGCATCCTCTGGCTCCAAAGGTGGCAGAGAGGAAGGAGCCTTGGGAATGAGAGCTGGGGGACACAGCAACAGTGGGAGTGCAAAAAGGCCACAGGACTCCCTGTGCTGGGAAAAAAAAATAATAAAATAATTAAAAAAAATAAAAATGAAAAACAAAAGCCAGCAGGCAGGGCTGAGTCAGAGCCCCCTGCAGCCCTGTCAGGAGTGATGGGGCAGTGCTGCCCCTGCTTTGATCCAGCTGTGGAGGCTCCAGGGAAGATCAATGTTCCATTAGAGAAAGCAGCCAGGGCTGCCAGTCAATCCCCTGGAACGACACTGCAGCCTGTGACAGCCACACCAGCAACCTGCTGCTGCTGGCACCAGAGTGGCAGGCTTCAAACTCCAGCAGCTTCTGCTCCCCTCCTCCCCAGCCCGAGCAAATCAACCCCAAATCTCTCTGTTTACCCTCACCCCTAATAAGCTCTCGTGGAAAATGGCATTCCAGGCTCTTTCCTGAGCCTTTGTTCCCTTTCATCCTGGGAAAAAGAAGGGTTTAGATAATCTCAGAATGCCAGAAAGCAATTTATTTTGACCTAGACTGTTTCTGCAATGTCATCTCTTGGCTCCAGCACGTGGGAAGTTTTGTTAGCTGGCATTTACACCACACAGCTCGGATGGGGCTGCGTGTCCCAGGCACTGGCAGCACCCAGAGGGTGACCCTGGGTGGGGACAAGGCTGTGCCACACAGCTCAGGGCCCACACAACACCCTCCAAAGGTCTGAGCTGCTGGGCACAGCAGTGGGGAGTGATGGTTGTGCTGCACATCCCAAGTCCCTGATGTGGACAAGGAAGGGACTCCAGAGGGAATCCTGTCATCAAACCATCCCAGAATGGATTGGGTTGGAAAGTTGACCTTAAAGATCATCCAGTTCCATTCCCCCTGCCATGGGCAGGGACACCTTCCACTGTCCCAGGTTTTTCCAGCCTGGCCTGGGACCCTTCCAGGGATCCAGGGGCAGCCCCAGCTTCTCTGGGCACCCTGTGCCAGGGCCCCCCTCCCCTCACAGGGGAAGATTTCACCCCAATATCCCATTTAACCCTGCCCTCTGTCTGAGTGAAGCCATTCCCTCTTGTCCAAAGTCCCTCTCCAGCCATTCTGTAGCCCCTTTAAGTGCTAAAAGACTCTAAAAGGCCACAATTAAGTTACCCTGGAGCTTTCTCTTCTCCAGGCTGAGCAGTCCCAATGCTTTCAGCCTTTCCTCACAGCAGAGAACCTCTCCTCCATCCCTCTAATACCCTCACGGCCCTCTCCTCTGGACACTTCCACAGGCACATCCCATTTATTCCAGAGCAGCACCAGCTCTTCCCCAGTGCTCCATAAGGCACACTCAGTCCTTCCCCCCCAGCAGGAGGAAGAGATTTGGAGTCTCACTCCTCTTCCTAAACCACAGGGTGAGCTCGGCTCTTTGCCCCCAGAATGTTTTCTGCACCCTCGAGCCTGCAAGGTTTCTTTGGAAAGGAAAAGCAAAAGGAGAGAAGGTCACAGAGCAGCTGCTGAAGGACTCTCTAGGACAGCACAATGTCAGTGTGTGTGTGTCCCTCCCAGCTCCCCCAGCCCGGCTCCATCATTCCCTGGAAACCACAGAAACACCCTGAGCAATCCACCACAAGTTTTGCTGCAATCCAGGAGCACCAAAAAGCAGCAGCCACGGGTGGGACCCCCCTTTTGCAGACCCCCAATAGCCCCCTCGCTGCCCAGCACGGCTTCTGAGCTCTGCCCCACCCCGGCTGCTCAGGCATTGCAATAACTCATCTCTCTGTCAACAGGGAATATTTTTAAATGCCTTCCTCCCTGCAGGCAGGCAGGCAGAAGCGTCCTCTGTTCTTCCCAGGCTGATTCCTTTTTTATTATTATTGTTATTTTCCCTCTGGATGAGGAGTTTAGATCATCCCGTCTCCTTTTTAGGGTGGGGGAATGGCAGTCAGGGGGGCAGCCCCCAGGAAGGCTCAGAATTGCTGGTGGCAGGCAGGCAGGCAGGCAGGAAGGAGAGCTGAAACTTTGTGTGCCCAAACTTCTGATCCGGAGCACAAAGCAAAGCTTGTCTTGCCTTTCCTTCCCCAAGTTATTACATAAAAATAAACCCAGGCTCCCTCCTTCTTTTTGGCAGCCAGCAGCACATCCTGCAGAGCAACCTTGTGTCCTGAGACTCTTTCCACTGGGCTGGGAAAGGAGAGGAGAAGCTCAGCCTGTTCCCTGGCTGGCTCCCACCGAGCCTTATTTCACTCTGTGTACTTCCCAGCAGGACATTGATGTGGACAGGCATCTGGAAAGGCTGCGAGAGAGTTTCAGCAGTGCTTTGTTTTGTTCCGTGCTTTCCACGCTCGGGGTGTTATTACCACGCTGCTCTGCTTGTGCAACAGCCCCACAAACAGCACTTGGGGCTGCTTTGAAGGGGGAGGAGGAGCTGGGCCACTAAAGAGGCACCGAAATCCCTGCGGTTCCTGCTGTCGCTGAAGGCCCACGTTGGATGGATTGCAGCAAGTCAGCAGAAAGCAAATAAACAGGCAGACAGGATAAACAGGCTCTGCAGCCTGGTGTTCCCTGAGAAAAGTATGATTTTTTGGTTGTTGTTGTTGTTGTTTTTTCCCTCCAATGCCCATCATTTTGTCAGCACGTCTGTGTGTGCTGGGGGCATCGTTTATCCCCGGGGCTTGCAGACCCCAAACCGCTGCTGGACAAAATGCAAAATGCTGGCTTGAGCTGCCTTCACTGCGGATGGGAAACCTAAATCCCAGTCACAGAGATGGGGACACCCTGCCAGGCAGCTCCATCCCTTGCTGCCAACACCTGGGCACCTCCAGACCCCCCCCTGCCAATGTCCCAGGGTGACAGAGCTCACACACCACCAAAAAAAGCAGCCAGACAGAGACCCAGCCACCCACTCTGGATGCTCAGAAAACACTCCATGGAAACACCCTGAGACCTCTGGAATAGGAAGCCCAAGGGCAGAGGAGGCCTTAGTCTGGGCTGATGGTTTCATTCCCCCTTTAAAGACCTGTCTGTGAGTAATTAAAGCTCCTGTTTCTAAGCTGCTTGGCATTTTAATTGATTTTCTGCACTGGCTGCCCACAGTGTAGTCATTCAAATCCAACATTTGTCTTGCAAGCCCCAAATGGGCAGTGAGGGAAAGCGACCTTCCCACGAGCCCA